AGTTTTGAAGTGATTTGTCCAAATTCTCTTGAGGAATTGGCTATATGACCTTATAAAATAAACGATCAATAACTTTAAATCGAATTTGATTCCAGCTTTGAAAATACATTCTATTATCCATCACATACCTATTGTTTCTATTTTTGCAAAGTTATTTTCGAAGCAATTTTCGTCCAGAATTTTTTTTTCTAAAGCTCATCAGAATTCTAACATTTTTTCTTCTCTTGGGCTTAAACTGTCTGGTAATAAGGGAAAAAACCTTTCTCACGTTGTTTCTGAATGGCGCTCATTCAACTTTTCTAACCATTTCTACGTTTGTGAGGAATGCCTTACAGTAAACAATAAATATTGAAATAATGGTAGATTAGATGAATGAATGAATGAATGATTAAACAAGTAAATAAGTATGTAAAAGCATGAATGAATTATTGTTAGAATGTGATGAATTATGTCTTTGTTGTTCAATTAATTGAATAAGTTTGAATTATTTCAAAAAACTAGTTTCACTCAGTATTAGTGATAAAATCAAGTTGTATAAATTTCAGTTCAAACATAATGGTTTGCATCGCATTGTATCGACTTTATGCCCTACGCTATCCTTTTTGGATCTCAGCTATAGGACATAGCCGAGTTCCTCGGATGCTCCTACTAGCTTGGGGAACAGCAATGCTCTCAATGCTCCCACAGCTTTACGTTTGGCGGGAGGTATGTTTTCAAATTCTAGGTAAAACTCCACCAAAAAGTTCTTTATTGGGAATTTTAGGTAAATTTCGGAGATTTTCGTCAATGTGTCACGTTATGGACGGAGAAAATTAATCTCGGTACTGCTCCAAATCAAACATTGATGACTGACGAGGATTTTCGATTAATGAAGCTGTACGGGATACAAAATGCCTTTATTACATTCTACATTCCTTTATTGATTCTAGTCGTCTGTTATGTACTAATTTTAAAGGTTTGTTAGCTTTTACAACCAAGAAATTTACCATTGATCTAATTTTTTGGGGTTATTCAATAGGTAATTCCTTATCGG